CATATTCATAAATGCTTCTAGAACTATAAACTCTGGAAATAAATTCATTTGTTCATCACATAAATGTTTATGAATGCCAACTACCCATTGAGCACTATTCCAGGTTCTAGAAATGTAACAGTAAACAAAATAATATATGCTGGCCATCTTGACGATTCCCTAATATAAGGGAAAGACACACCAAATAAGTGTATTATATGGGACTCTGGCTTTCAAAGGCGAGACATTGAAAGGTCAAGGGACCAAGCCTTCATGCCAAAGATTCCCCCATCCTCCAGTGTGGGACAAGGGAAGGACAATTTTAACCTGGCAGGTAAGGGAAGATGGTTCTAAGGAGGGATGCCTGAGATAAATGTGAATTATGGAAAGAGGCCACCCACTTGAAAGAGCACCCAGGGTAGGAACTGCAAAAGTACAGATGTGCCCATTCAAGTCCGTGTGAATTCTACAACTAATCCGAACTACTATTTGAGTAATAATTTTAATTTTGTTTAAAATTTTAAAATAAAATAAAATAAAATTATAGTAGAACCTCCATAGCTGACCAGCTCCCTACAGTAACCACATCAAGTTGACCTAATTTTCATAGACTGGACATGTACCACATGTACATGTCACTACAGTAGGCCCAGTTCCTTATGTTCACCACCTCTGTATGTTGACCAGTTTGTTACAGTTCCTAGGGTGAGCAACTGCACAGTAGAGGGTGTACTGTATATATTTATGTAGTCATTTGATCCCTGCAAATGCTAATAGCCCTGAAGAATATGGATCTCCATATGTAAGAAAAAGCTGACTGACCAAAATAAGTGACATACAGATGAAGTTAGTTACAGGGAGGAACCTGAATGCGGGGCCTTGGCAGCAGCACCTGGCAGAGTATTTGTACTCTTGTATGCAAGCACTGAGGCTGCTTCTGTGGCAAGGTCTCCCCTCCCATGCTGATATCTCTGCCTGCTGAGCTCCATCAGAGACAGTAGTCCCTGCTTCAGGGTCACTTGTAGTCTGGTTCTCCAGAATCAAGGCTGAGGTAGATTCACGTGGCGGGAAGATCATTGGACAGAAATACCTGTCAGGGAGTGAGGAAAGCAGGACCCCCTGGAGGGAAAAATTAAACTGCTCTTGCAATGGGGGCCTCAGCTGACAGGATGCTCTGGAGCTGCCATGGCCCTTCCTAGCCTTGAGGTCTTTGCACCCTACCATCAGGCCCAGGCTGCCCCTGGTCTGGGCAAAAGCTCGTAGAAAGTAGTCCCCTTCAGCTACCACCACCAACTCATAGGGAAGGATTCTGCTGTGAATGATCACAGAAATGCCTCCTGGTAGCTGGAAACGGTGTCTAAGTCCTGAACAGGGGATTCCCAACTCACACTGCGGCAGCCACTATACACAGCCCTGTAGGAAAGATTCTGACAGAGAGAAGAGCCTACAGAAGTCAGTCTGGAAGGAATTGTCTAGAAATCCCATTCTTGAGTAATGTGAAATATTCTGCCTAATCAAAAAAGACTTAAGGGAGAGCTAATCATCACCACTGGGCATTGGAAAGGGGATGGATAATTAACTAATGACACATGTGATGGCTGCAGCTGGTGGACACAGCTGACTGAAGAGGCCCAGGCAAGGCCAGTCTGTACATGTATCAGTTTCCCTGCTTTCTCCTGTTGATGCTGGCCTCCTGTTCCCCCTGCCTTCTTGCCTTGATGGTATTTCAGATGTTTCAACATTCTTTTCAGCTGCTTGGCTTTTTCATCATCTTTAGTAGCCAGCCCCTCCTATTAAATGTTCTCTTTGTAAAGTATCCAGAGTGATTCCTGATTTCTGGTTAGACCCTGACTGATAAAATACTACTGAGATAATAACACATTTGAAGATATGAAATAGAAAATCAAGAATTCTAAAAATCCTAGATTTATAAAAGACTTAGGAAGTTTAGTCAAATCCCTTTTGCTGAATCTCTTTACATTCATATTGTAAAGTGGTCTTCTGGTTCTCTGTTAACTTTCTTTATTGTTCTAGGCTGGAAACAATGGCTTGGATTTTCAGTGTGGGGGATTTTAGGTTGATTCAAGAAAGAAATGTTGGAGGATATAGACTTCCCAGGGCAAAAGACAGCTCCCTGGCACCACTGGTACCATGTGGCCAACTAGCATGGTGTTGCAGGAGGGATTCCAGCAATAGTTGCTTCAATAAGCTTGATAACTCCTAAAACTCTTCCAGTTCTATTCTGTGATTCTGTAAGCTGCACCCCTCAACAATCACACAATAACCCCAAGGTAAGCAAATTGCAACTCCAAGAAGTTTTCTTCCACTCTAATTTTTAAGGACAAAGTTTGTTAATGTTTTGTTAGCTAACTAATTCATCATCTTCCTTCTTCTATAAGACTGTAATATAAGACCTGACAACAAATCTGTTTAATCATAGCCATGATTAAAGCATCAATAATAGTCAGATATTCTTTGTCCTGCTAATGTCACTGAAATTAAAATAAGTGAATATCTCTGGCCATAACAGATAACAACAGTGAAGAGATTGAAATTTTATATTTAAGACTGCTCCAAGAACTACGTTAAACAACTACCCTCTAATTTGTGAAATTAATATTCTGCACGCACTAGGTACCTCTATGGATATATTTATAGGAAAAATGGTCACACAAGACTCATCTCTCACCAGACCAAAAAGGGGGCAGAGGTTGTGTAGCACTGCTTGTATGTCTGTATCTCACTTCCAGTTCAGGTGGGTCGGCATTAGCACAGGCTCCTCGCAGGGTACAGTGGTCTGATAGGCTCCTAAGGCTGAATCAAACTCACTACTATTCCAGGCACAGACTATCTGGAAGCAGGGAATGCAGAGTCTGCTGAAAGCCCTTCAATCAGCCAGTGTACTTTCCTACCGGTTTATGAGATGTGTACAAGCATAAACTCCAAAGACTAAGTATTTTTAAATGTCTGTCTCCCCGAAAAGCCACACTGCATTCACTGTTCCAGGACCATCACCTGCATATGTTAACCACACATAGGACCTTGCACCACTAAAATGTCTAACCCAAGATGTCTCAAAACACAGATTTTACCATAGCTTATAAGCTCTAGGTGTTCAAAAAAAAAAAAAAGTGTGACATCCTTCATTACAGTCCCTCCCCAATTATAGAAACAAACAAATAAACAAGGTTATGTTAAGTATTAGTCATGGTTCTTGATACTAAAATGCAGGAAGAGAAAAATAAATCATTACAATGCTGCTCTTGGTTGCTAACTGGAGGTATGAATGGGAATTTCCCTGTCCAAACCATTATTACCTCTCCTCTTATGAAAATAGACGTGTGCGTACTCATTTATACTTTGTTCCCTGACATACATTGTTAATTTGTGATATTTCTCTATGTAGAGAGGATTTTTTTCTTTGCTTTTTATTTCATGTTTCACCTACAATCTTGCTGAGAGTGTCAATCTCTGGAGCACCTACTCATAAACCAACACACTTGGGTACAAACTAAAGGGCATTTCTGACATTGTTGCATATTAAGGGCTGGTTAGCTTGGGAGGAAAAAAAAGATAGGGAGTATCATAAATATATAAATGGGAAAATCCAAGTTTCCTGATTTCCAAATAAATATTAAAGGCCCACATTGATATAAAAGTGATAGATAATTTAATTGTCCAAAGGTACTCATTTTTAAAGAACTTTCATGTGAATATACACAAAACCTTATTTCTTAAATAAATTAACTCCAAACCACAAAATAGGAGTTGCCTGTATTTTATATCTTGTTTCTGAGGCCAGAAAATATTTTATATGCTGAAATCTTTAGAAATGAGGCTGTGGTGGATGGAGTCCCATAAACAGTATATCCGCCTATTTGCATAAACTCACATTTCTCTACTATTTTTTAACTTTATGTGTTAAGGATTTAGGTGATATAGAAGCACTATTATTTAGGTTATTTTATAGACAGAAAATCAACACGCCATATCTACAGTCATAACAATTAGGATAAAAGATCTTAATATGCTTCATGAGTTTAATAATAAATGGAGAAAATAGGAAAGATGGAGTCATTACTCATTGTTCTGTGTACACCATGCTCTTCACTTCTTTTTCTAAAGAGTCAATCATTAACTAGGAAATCACCATCAATGATTTTTCTCATGTCACTCTGTAGGTGGAGTCAAACACAACTTCCTTTTCTTTTCATGTATACATACAGATACTACACTTACCTAAGACATCTGGCACAGTCCTTATTTCTTATAATAGTAGTGTTTTAAAAAACAATTTATTAAATTAACTCAATGCCGTTCAACTTTTATACTCGTGAAAGAACTCCAAATAAAAAAGAATTCACATACCAGACCATGCTTCCTAATTACAGCTTCAGAATATATAGTCACTGTGCTTTTCTATACCTTCAGATTCTTGTGTAGCAAACAGAAAGGAATCATAAGCTTTGTAGGAATGTGCTGGAGGAACTATACCTCCACTCAAATTACTCTCCTTCATTATGTTATTGAGACACATTTAAGAAATCTCAACTGACCCATGAACAAGTTATGACTGAGACCAGGCTTCCTACCCCATTCTCCTGCTAAGTGGCTTAAACATGTCAGACACAGCCCTGCCTCTTCAGTTGTTACCATATTTTCCCCAACAAGGCACTATAAAAATGCATTTGCCCATGTTATCATGTCATCTGCCTATTTTACTGACAAGATTCTGAGTTAGTGTGAACTAGCCAAAACATTCTAGTTACACTGCCAAGCCTATTAATGAAGACCTAATAGGAACTTATTAACTGTGAAAGTGACAAAAACATGGACCACAAACAAGTTCTATTCATTATTACTTGAGGCACCTGTTAAAATGTTTGACACCTACTCTGTGCTGCACCAGCCTAGCTATACAGATAACATCTCTGCCAATGGATAAAGACAATTCCTGAAAGCCCAGCAAAATATGTTCACACTGTATAACTCTGTGGTATGGAAAAGTCAAAATCTCTTACCTTGCATTGTCACTTTTGTTGGTTCTGAGAACAAAGGAATGAGCAAGAGGTAGATAAGGTAGACAAAGGACAGCCCATTGTATCTGAATGCACACGCTGTGGGTAGGAAGAGAAAAGAAAGGGAGAAGGTCATTAACACTGGCAGGCTGATGGAATTAAGAGTATACCACAACAGTGTAGGTTATAGAACTGGATATTGCTGGATCAAACAATATCACTAAATATATATGAAATATATATGTCAATTACAACCAATAAACTGAGATTAATTCCATGTCCATCACCATGATGAGAAACAGAGAATTAAAATACATGGCCCCCTGCTCTTAAAACAAACCAGAAAGTATTAAAGTTAAATAACAAAACTATTAAAAGTAATGACAGCTACAATAATTTGTAAAAGGATGTGCAATATAAAGAGATACAAATTTTGACAACAAAATCATAAGATAATGAGAGGGTGGATAACAAAGTGCAGACTTTTATATCAGTTTAAAAGAGCCTACCTACGACTATACTTGTAAAATGCTTTATATAACTCTCCTGGTAGCCACAAAGCAAAAACCCCTAGTAGATGGACAAAAGATAAAAGTAACAAATCAAAGTACAAATCAAATCAAATCACAAATGAACACAAGAGAAGAAGAAAAGAATAAAACTTTGGGAGGCCAAGGTGGGTGGATTGCTTGTTCGAGATTATTCTGAGTAAGACTGAGACCCCATCTCTACCAAAAGTAGAAAAACTATCCAGGCATCGTTGTGGGCACACATAGTCCCAGCTACTTGGGAAGCTGAGGCAAGAGGAACACTTGAGCCTAGGAGTTTGAGACTGCTGAGAACTGATGCCATAGCACTCTACCCAGGGAAACAGAGTAAAATTCTCTCTCAAACAAACAAAAAAAAGGAACAGGGGCAGCACCTGTGGCTCAAAGGGGTAAGGCGCTGGCCTCATATGCCAGAGGTGGTGGGTTCAAACCCAGCCCTGGCCAAAAATTGCAAAAAAAAAAAAAAAAAAAAAATCTCCAAAACAGTAAGGAAACAATTACCAAATGGTAGATGTGAGTCTTTAGCTACCAATAATTGTCTCGAATATAAATGGATTAGTAACCAATCAAAAGGCATAGAGTGGTTGAATAAATAAAAAAACAAAACCGAATTATAAAAACTGGTGCCTACAAGAAACCCACTTCACATTTGAGAACATGCATAGATTAAAGTTAAAATGATGAAAAAAGATATTCCGTGCAAATGGTAACCTAATCAAAAGTGGCTGTATTTAGATAAAATACACTTTAAGTCAGTAACTGTAAAATGAGACAAAGAAGGTCAAGGGGTAAATTTATCAAAAAGTTATAACAGTTGCATATACATATGTATCCAAATTGGAGCACTTAAATAGTAACACAGATACTAAGAAATATGAAGGAAGAGACAGATTGTAATACAATAGTAGGTGATTTCAATATTCCACTTTCAGTAATGAACAGATCAACCAGATAGAAGTCAATAAGAAAACATGAGACTTAAACTACATTTTAGACCAAATGAACCTAATAGACATATAGAACATTCCATCCAATAGCAGCAGAATACACATTCCTCTCAAGTACCCATAAGGATCTTCCACAATAGAACGTATGTTAGGCTACAAAATAAGTCCCAACAAATTTAAAAAGACAAAAATCATATGAAGTATCTTTTCCCATTACAATGGTATAAAACTAGAAATCAATAACGGGAAGAATTTTAGAAAATTCACAAATTCATGGAAAATAAGCAACATTTTCCTGAACCAAAAATGAGTCAAAGAAATTAAAAGGGAAATAAAAAAATACCTTGAAACTAATGAAATCAGACACACAATATACCAAAACTCATTGAATACAGCAAAAAGCAGTTCTGAGACAAAGTTTATTGCAATAAGCATTTACCTACAAAAAGAAGAAAGATCTGAAGCAGTCTAACATTATATCTCAGGGAACTAAAAAAAAAAAAATCAACTAAGCTCTAAGTTAGCAGAAGGAAGGAAATAACAAAAGTCAGAGCAGAAACAAATAAAATAGAGACTAGAAAACCACAGAAAAGATTTGGTGAACACAGTGGCTCACACCTATAATCCTAGTGCTTTGAGAGACTAAGGCAGGAATATCCTTTGAGCTCAGGAGTTCAAAATCAGCCTGAGCAAGAGCAAGACCCTGTCTCTACTAAAAAAAAAAAAAGAAAAGAAAGAAAGAAAGAAAAAATTATCCAGGCCTTGTGGGGGTCACCTGTAGTCCCAGCTACTAGGGAAGCTGAGGCAAGAGGATCACTTGAGCCCAGGAGTTTGAGGCTGCTGTGAGCTAGGCTGATAGCTTTCCTACAGCACTCTAGCCTGGGGCAGCAGAGTGAGACTCTGCCCCCCCAAAAAAGAAAGAAACAAAAAGAAAAATAAAATATAGAAAAGGTCAACAAAATTAAGTTGGTTATTGAAAAGAAACAATCAACAAACCTTTAACTAGGCTTTAAAAAAGAAGATAAGGCTCAAAAAATAGTATCAGAAATGAAAGAAGAGATATTACCATTGATATAAATACCACCAATAAAACAAAAGAGACCACTACAATTATATACCAATAAATTGGATAACCTAGAATAAATGAATAAATTCCTAGACAAATACAATCTACTGAGAAAGAATAAAACAAATAGAAAATTTACGCAGATCAGTAACAAGGAGGGAGATTGACTCAGCAATAAAAACTCTCCCGTTAAAAAAAGCGTAGGATCTGATGAATTCTACCAAATATTAAAGAGAACTAATGTCACTCCATCTCAAATTCTTCAAAAAATTTGAAAAGGGAATACTTCCAAACTCATTTTATGAAGTCAGCATGCCCTGATACCAAAACCAGAGAAGGATAACACAGAAAGAGAAAATCCTGAGACTTCTGATGAACACAGGCCAGTATCTCTGATGAATGCACATGCAAAAATCCTGAACAAAATAGTAGAAAACCCAATTCAATAGGACATCTAAAGACAAGTATGCTTTATCCTAGGGATGCAAGAATGTTTCAAAATACATAAATCAATCTATGTGATACAGGAAATTAACAGAATAAAGAACAAAAACCAATATGATCATCTCAATAGTTGCAAAAAACCTATTTGACAAAATTTGGCATCTTTTCATGATAAAAATTCTCAACAAATTAGGTTTACAAGAAATGTACCCCAACACAAATACCATATATGATAACCTTACAACTAATATCATACTCAACAATAAAAATCAAAAGCTTTTCCACTAAAATCAGGAACAAGACAAGGATGTCCCCTGTTATGACTTCTATTCAACATAGGAGTGAAAGTCTCCCAGAGCAATTAGGCAAAAACAGAAATAAAAAGCATCCAAAAGGAGAAAGTAAAAATGTCTCTGTTTGCAGATGACATGATCTTATACCAAAAAAACAATAGACTGGTATAGCAGCTTATGCCTTCAATACCAAATACTCAGGAGCATGAAGAGGGAGGATTGCTAGAAGCCCAGAGTTTGAGATTAGGTTGGGTAACATAGCAGGACCCTATCTCTAAAAATAAAAATTAGAAAAATTAACTGGGCATCGTGAGTGCCTGTAGTACCAGTTACTTGGGAGGCTGAGGCAAGAGGATTTCTTGAGCTCAGAAGTTTGAGGCTACAGTGATTTACAATCATGCCATTCAACTCCAGATTGGGTGATAGAACAAGGCCTCTATCTCTGAAATTAAAAACAAAACAAAACAAACAAAAAAACACCATTCTTCTAAGTGATATATCCCAAGAATGAAAAAACAAACACCACATGGCCTCAATACTAAATTGGAACTAACACGTGTACATATGGAAATAAAACTCAATAGAAATCAAGTAAGCAAGAGGGGGAAGAAGTGGATGGGTAAAGTCACACCTAAATGTATACTTTCCAGGTGAAGGGCATACTTATAACTTTGACACAAAATCTACAAAAGCAAATTATGTAACCAAAACATATGCACCCGCACAATATTCTGAAATTTTAAAATAAAGAAAGAAAGAAAATCTAAAGACGTTACCCAAGGCGCCTGTAGCTCAAGCCTGTAGCTCAAGCGGCTAAGGTGCCAGCCACATACACCAGAGCTAGTGGGTTTGAATCCAGTCTGGGGCTGCCAAACAACAATGACAACCACAACCTAAAATAGCTAGGTGTTGTGGCAGACACCTGTAGTCCCAGCTACTTGGGAGGCTGAGGCAAGAGAATCACTTAAGCCCAGGAATTGGAGGTTGCAGTGAGCTGTGATGCCATGGCACTCTACCTAGGGCAAGAGCTTGAGGCTCTGTCTCAAAATAAAAATAAAGACTCCACCCCAAAACTTGGGCTTGTGGCTCAGCAGGTAGGGCACCAGCCCCATATACCTGAGGGAGGCAGGTTCAAAGCCAGCCCTGGACAAACTGCAACAAAAAAATAGATGGGCATTGTAGCAGGTACCTGTAGTCCCAGCTACTCGGCAGGCTAAGGCAAGAAAATCAGCTAAGCCCAGGAGGTGGAGGTTGCTATGAGCTGTGTGACACCCAGGCACTCTACCAAGGGCAATAAAGTGAGATTCTGTCTCTACAAAAAAAAAAAAGAAAAGAAAAACTTTTAGAGTTAATAAATAAATTAAGTAAACTCGCAAGATACAAAATCAACATACAAAAATGAGTAGCACTTTCTAGGTAGTAAAAATAAACTATATGAAAAAACAAGAAAATCAGTCCAGGGCAGCACCTGTGGCTTAAAGGAGTAGGGCGCCAGCCCCATATGCCGTAGGTGGCAGATTCAAACCCAGCCCCGGCCAAAAACTGCAAAAAAAAGAAAAGGAAAATCAGTCCATCGCTTCTCGGCCTTTTGGCTAAGATCAAGTGTAGAAAATCAGTCCATTCTCAGTAGTACACAGAAACAAATTTAACAAAGGGGATGAAAGATCTATGAATACCTCAATATGATACCCTGAATACTCAAAGTCGAAATTGAAGAACACACAAATACAGTCACACGTCTCCTAAAAATGATCACACATACTGAGAAATGTATTGTTAGGCAATTTGATCCTTGTGAGAA